ATAATAATAAAAATATTTATCAGTTGAAACTATATAAAATTAGGTAAAAAAATCCCGAACTATTTTATTCAAATAAAATCTAATTAAAAAACTAAAATAATATATTTTTAGGAAAATGCATTTGGCCCTAGAGACCCAATAACACCGGCCATTGAAAAAGTGCATTTTCTATTTTTTTAAAACGTATTTTTTTACTTATTTTTTTTATAGATCTAATGAATAAACATTAATTAATCTCATATAAAATATAGTAAACAATTACATTAACAATTTCATTAAATCTATTTTAAATTAAAAATTTTCAATACACATAAATAAAAGATCAAATCTAATTGGCTGTTTAATATAATACAAATTATATAAAAAATTATAATTAGGATAAAATCATATATAAATTATGTAAATATAAGCTGATCTTGACTATCTTCTAATAGTTTTCCTTACCCAGCAGTCAAAAAAATAGTTTTCCTTACCCAAGTCAAATTATATATCTTTTAAAATTGACCACAAAGAGAAAAATGGTCACCTTACGTAGGTCATGATTATTTTTTTCGAATTTGAAATGGAAGCTATAATTCAAATATAAAAAACAAATTTGTAATGAACAAAAATTATGCACCTTATTAGATGTTTTTTAAGAGTTTAGAGCGGCGGCTGCTAGCTTTCTCCCTGATAGCAGCATTGGGGATATTTTATTAAATTATGTCATTATTTGTATTATAAATAAATCATTTAAGTTGCATATGTAATTTTGATTGTTTTAATTCAAGTGAATTGAATTTTTTATATTTATTAAAATTTTATTCGTTGCAATCACAATCAAATTATTTCCATTCTCTCATATTTTCTTATGTTAAAAAAAAATTTTAAGTTATGTTAAATTATTAAATAAAATAAAATTTTTAATATTAAAATTTATTTTATTTTATAATTTAACACAATTTAATAAGTACATACTTTAAACTACAGATATGGTCTTTCCATCTCAGCTTCTCTTTCTCCAAATCATTACCAACTGAGCTGTAACCTACAAGGCAATATGGTGCTTTCTGCCCCACATGTCGCTCTGATTCAGTGTCGGCCATCATCAATCAATTTAAACAAATCAGATCCATTAAACAGCTGGATGATTCTGATTCCAGCATCCAAACTCCAAAGATTATCAACTACTCCCCTAGCTCTTTTTCTAGCTAGATCTTATTTAACACATTCATTCCAGTTCAGACAAACCATGTTCCACCCACATTTTGTTTTCTCCTACTGTCAGATCTATTTTAGTGTT